GGTTCCGCCTCATTCCTGCCCCGCCTCTCACTTCCTGGGTGCCTGCCCGGGGCAGGAGGTGGACAGAGTGAACCCCATGGCCTCAGAGAGCCTGGGTGGGGCGTGGATCACTCGCTTCTGCTGGGCACTCGGACATCCAGACCTAAAAGACAGCAGGAACCCCCTCCCTGCCTGGCTCTGGAAGCTAAGCGTCTCATGGTTTATTCATCTAATCCTCACAACTCATAATCACCCCCCATCTTCAGATGGGAATACTGAGGTTCAGACAGTAATGAGAGCAGACAGAATTCGAACCCAGCTCTGTATGCTGGCTGCTTCCTAAAATCTTTCCGGCCAGTTCACCAACTGCCTTCCCCTCCCCTCTAAAAGATGGTACACCCAGCCCCCCATGAGGCCCGGCTCAAGGGGGCACCCGCTTGCTCTGAGTCAAAATAGGCCCCTGGATGAATAAGAAAACGGCTTTAACCGTTTCATCGCCACGACAGGCTCTGCCAAAACTTCCTGTGGGCTGAGGGGGGTGGGGAGGGGACTGGGTTCCCGGAGGCCTGGGATGGGGGAGGCTCTGCCAATTCTGGGGTGTTGGGAAGCGCTCCTGGTGACCAGGTCGAAGGCCAGTAAAGGGAGACGCCGCTCCGCCACTTCTTGCTGGATGGGGAGCCCCTCTTCCGGAGCACGAGGTACCCAGAACTTAGTTGCCAGCCCCGGGTGCCTGGAGGGGGGTCCCAGAGTCCGCAGCCCCCTCCCCAAGGACCTGAGTCACACACGGGGAAAGCCGCAAAGGGGTGAGTCACAGGGGCAGAGAAGGGGGAGCGAGGCCGGTTGCGGCTAGGGGACCCCCGGGCTGGCCTGAGTCACGCACGGCCGGCCTCAATGACCCCAGCCCCCTTCTCCGGAGATCAGGAGCGGGAAGCGCATTGTCGTTGGACTGAGGAGCTGGAGGAAGCGCAGGAAGGGGCGGGAAGCACGCACCCGGCTGCGCGGGAAGCTCTGGTTTCCATGGCAGCCGGGGGGGGGCTCTCTGTTCCCTGGAGGGGTCCTCCCCCAGCCAGGACTGCCCCCCCGCAACGTGCTGGGGAAGCCCCCGTGCGCTCGGTCCAGAGGCCCCAAGTTTCAGATCGGGCAGGAAGGGGTTAACGGCAGCCCCCTCCCGGGTTTCACCCGCGGGCCACACTCCGGGGCGGGGCGGCGCTGGGCCCCGCGCGTCCTCGCACGCCCAGCCCCCGCGGCCACCCCCGCGCGCGCGCGCGCGCACGGTCGCACGCAGGCATCCAGCCCAGCCTCCCGCCCTGAGCTCGCACGCACGACCGCGTCGGGCTCCACGCACGCAGCGACCCCCGTCGTGTCTCACGTCACGCACGACGCACGCGCCCCCGCAGCTCGGGGAGGGGCCCTCCGGGCTGAGAACCCCCTGCGCGCACATCGCCGCCTCCGCTGGGCCTGAGGTCTGGTGTGACTTTGCTACCCCCCTCCTCCTCCACACACAAGGTCACAAACAACTGTGACCCACACGGTCACACGGACACAGGACACACCTGCCACAGGCTGGCAGAAACCCTCGCTAGTCCAGCCAGCTTCGTAGTGAACACAGACTCGGGTCACACTGTCACACACGGACACACAGGAGATGCAGAGTCACGCACCACATCGCACATCGGTTACATATGGTGTGTGACAGGGACACAAACAGCTATATTCATACACAGGCATTTACAGTTTGATAATGCCACATCTTTGAGACAAAGTAAAACACAAAGACTTGGACACCTGGGACTTTGATTGTCACACAAACACCCCTAAACATGGAGAATGTGTGGCAGAGACACGATAGACACATGCGGTCACACCATTATCACAGGGCGCACAAAGTAGGATTCCATCACAGAGGCAAACCCACAGATACTCAGATTGTCAAAGGGGTGTGGACAAACCAGGACACATGACAAGGTCACACTGCAACAGAAAGACAAAGTAGGACGTGATCTCAGACACACAACCTCATGTTGAGGTACTTTTTTTTTTGTTTTTTTTTTTTGGTGGTGCTGGGTTTGAACTCAGGGCATCACACTTGCTAGGCAGGCCCTCTACCACTTGAGCCACTCACTCTATGTTGATGTGCTTATTGTCATAGATTTTCATACCAAGGACAGGGTTACTGACCCCAAAGGAGATCTCATATAGAGGAACACAACACACGACAAAGACACAATCAGAGTCAGCCGCTCAAATTCTGCATGGACCAGAGATATACATGGCACATGAGTGAGGCTCCCTGTTACCCTAACCTTGGGTGTTACACACAGACAAGGATATGTTACAGTCCCCCAAGTCCCTGACAAGCCCCTCATAATCAAAGTGCACACAGATACTAGTGGTACACACTCCTGGATCCCAAGGCAGACACACACACATGCACACACCTTCAGAGACCCACCTCCTCACGCCTACACAAACACAAGCACACTTCACATAGACTCAGAGACACACAGAGGGGAGCGGGCAGGAGGAGTCCTGACAGATTGTATTTGGGGTACAGGAGGCCTGCCAGAGGAGTCTCCCATGGGTGATGCTGCAAGGGGTCCACCCAGTGGTTTTGATCAGCCAACAAGGAGATGGGGTGGGTGCCTGTCCTCCAGTTGTAGGACCCAGGGTCCCCATCCCAGCCCTGGTGTTTGGTTCCTTGCCCAGATGTGCAGGCTGGAGGGGGCGGGCCGGGGTCCAGCTGTGGCCGCAGGGAGGGGTTGAGTCACTCACTTCCCAGCAGAACAACCCAGGCTGGGCCCAGCTGTTCCTGGAAACAGGCAGGAGGGGGTGGGGTCTCCAAACCAGATAGGGGCTGTTGGCCCAGACCTGCTCAAGGGGGACTCTAGGTCCGTATAAATGGAGGCCTCCAAACCACCTCCCCAAACTTGGGGGTTCCCTGAAGCTAAAATAGGTTTGTATCCTTCCCCCAAATATGGGGTCCTTTTCCAAAACGGAGGGTTTGTGGCCACTTTTGCAGAATTGAAGTTACCCTTGCAACTCAGCTCCCTGCTTTGCAAAACTGATTTTCTGGTCTTCACAATCATGAGAGCTTCCCCTTTTTTTTTTTTTTTTTTTAAATCCCCAAACCTGGGACTCCCTGATGATTCCTGCTGTCCCAAAATTGAAAGCATAGCTAGGGACTTTTGCTTACATCTTGACTCTCTGGACATCTGGGATGTCCATAACATCACATCAACGTTAGAACAATTTAAGTCAATTCCCCCAAAATATTTGAGTTCCCAGATTTTCCCTAAACTAAAATCCCTGCAATCCCCATCCTCCAAATACTTGAAGTTCCAGTATGTCCAGCTCCCCATCCTGGTAGAAGCCGCGGTTCCTGGCTCACCTCCCACTGCTACCTAGGGGTAGGGTAGGGGACTCTGTTTCCCCCTTTCTGTAGCACGGTCTCCTCCGGTGGGTGCGGGACAAGGGAGCCAGCCGCAGCTGTTCCCACGCCCTCAGGAAAGCAGCCAGTCAGGAAGCGCCGGCCCTGGTCCCCTTCCCCTCTACCCGCCCCCCTCCACCCGCTCCCAGGAGCTGGAGTCTGGAAAACAACGCAGGAGGAGGGGTGTGGGGGCGTGGATCAGCCTCCAAGGCTCTGGCGTGCGTGCGGCTGCGCATCTGAGTGGGCTGTAACCAAGGTAAAGTGACTGTTCACGTGATGCAAAATGGGGGGGGGCTGTTGTCACCTCTTCCACCTCGCCCTGCGGGGCAGGGTCACTGGAGCCAGGCTCTGGGTTGATGGGAGCAGCACCCCACCCCTGCGACCTGGGCCCGCCCCCAAAGCAGAGCCCGCCCCTCCCTCCGGGTACAGCTAATAACCTCTAATTACTGCACATTACCCCGCCCGCTTGCGGGGGAGTGACTGTCAGGGGACCCTGGGGTCAAAGGGCTCGGGCCGAGGCTTTACACCCTCTCTTAAAGTCAGGTCCAATTGGAACCACTGTTTTCTCATCTCCAAAACCGGGATTTTAAAGCAGCTTTTGCCACCGAGAGTGTGTGTGTTTGGGGGCGGGGAGGATGGGAAGACGTCACTCAGTAGTCTCTATTTAAATAGCTTAACGCAGGGACAGCATACAGTAGGCATTCTAGAAATGTTGACTTGAGATTTTATTGTTGACGACATTTGTTATGTCTTTTCTTTGAGCCCTCTCCATCATCCAAGCAGGGTTGGAGGGTGGGCTCACCCTTTCCCCAGTAGACGGCGTTCCTGCGGTCGGCGCGCCCCCTGGTGGGCTGCTGGCGACAGGCGGCTTCGCCCCGGTCCTGGGCTCCGGCGCGCGGGGGGCTCAGAGGGAAGGCTCAGAGGGAAGGAAGTTCAGTGGAGGGCAGACGCAAGCTGGGCAAGTGTATCTGTCTACTCCCCAGGACAGGTGTCTGATGATCCTTCCTGCCGTCAACCTAGCACCATACCCATGTTCCCTTGTTTACCCCTGGAGCAGAGCTCTTTCCTGAGTCACTTCCACCGGGAGAACCCCTTTAAGATCTCCATAGGATATATTATAGCTCGTGCTTCCCCGCACAAATAAAGGCCCCGATCATGCGCTGGTGGAGTAGTTCAAGTGGTAGATACATGCTTTGCAAATGCGAGGCCCTGAGTTCAAGCCCCAATACCACAAAAAAAAAAAAAAGGCTCCGATCATAAAGTGGTTAAACAGAACTATTTCTTCCAGCTGCTGGAGAGGATATGAATGTGCCTGTATAGTAGGGTGGGGCAGCTCCGCCTCAGAAATATCATAAGAACTTTTCCACCCCGAAAAGAACGGAGAAGTGGAGAGGAGGTGGTCACCCTCCTGATGCGCACAACTGGGTTACACTGACCTCTACCGGTAGAGCGGGCTCCTGACAGCTGCCCGGATCCAAGATGGCGGAGCTGGAGGCAAGAGCTGGCGGCTGGACAGGATCACGTGTTAGGGGCGGGGTCTGTGCCCAGGGGGCGGGGTGGGGCGGCGCTCTAGGCCGAGCGGGAGGTCGGGGCAGCTGGCGCTCGCTGGTGGCGGACCCAGAGGCAGCTCCACCGCGCCGGGGCTCCGTGGCCGGGGTTGAATCCGATCAGGAGCCATGAGCGTGGACAAAGCCGAGTTATGCGCGTCTCTGCTCACCTGGGTAGGTCGGGGGCGGGCTGGGGACAGGTGTGCGCCCCCTTCTCTCACCCTGGATCCTCGGCCCGCGGTCTGCACCTCCGCCCTGGGCTGGAAGGAGTAAGGGGTCTCGGCTTGCTGGGCCGTTGGACTCTAGCCTGAGTACCTGCCCCTATCAAGTGGCAGGTCTGCGTGGAAAGAATAGGTGAGGCCCCGCCCCCCTGACTGGCTCACTGTGGGGCGAGGAGTCACAGGTGTGTTGGCATGGTCACGTGGTGCCTGTGGGGCAGGTGACTAGTGGTGACGCCCACACCTGGGCGCGCGGGGTTTGTTGGGCAGAGGCAAAGTGAGGCCACGCCCCCTTCAGCCCCAGGTGTGCAGAAGTCGTAGCGCTTGCGTGGCGGAGCAAAGGCCAGTGCTCGCCCAACACTATGAGGTGTCTACTGGCCAGAAGAGTTTGCAAAAGAGGAGTTTGGGGGTCCCCAATCTGAATTTCCCCATTATCCTTTCCTTTCCCCCTCAGCTGCAAACATTCCAGGTTCCATCCCCCTGTGCCAGCCCCCAGGACCTGAGCAGCGGCCTTCCTATAGCCCATGTGCTGAACAAGATGTGAGTGGAACTGAGGGGGAGGACCCTCGGGAGGGTCCCCCAGCCAGCTCATGTCACCTTCTTACTCCTAGAGACCCCTCCTGGTTCAACGAAGCATGGCTCCAGGGCATCTTAGAAGACCCAGGCCCCAACTGGAGGCTAAAGGTGACAGGTGTACTAATGACTTGGGGACACCTAGGGGCCAGACTGGTGGAGAAATGATCAGGAAAGGGCAAGCTAGACACATGTCCAGGGTATTGGACAGATAGATGTCTGATCAAGCTGGATGTGATAGCACATACTTATAATCCCAGCTACTAAGGAGGCAGAGTCAGGAAGATCCTGGGTTCAAGGTCAGCCCAGAAAAAGATAGGGAGACCCTGTCTCAAAAACAACAACAAAAACACAGGGCTGGGGGCTGGAATTGTAGTTCAGTGGTACAGTGCTTTTCTAGCATGTCCAAGGCTTTTAGGTTTGATTCCCAGCACCACAAAAAATAAAACAAAAAAATAGGATTGGGGTGTGACTCAATCGGGAAAGCACCTAGGAAGCATGAGGCCTTGAGTTCAAACCCAAGCACTGCCAAAAATAAATAAACATATCCCAAAGGTCTGGGGTTGTAGCTCAAGTGGTAGAGCCCTTGCCTAGCATGCATGAAGCCCTGAGTTCGATTCTCAGTATCGCAAAAGCAGATGTCTGATGACCTGACAATTATTTCTTCTTCTTCTTCTTCTTTTGCAGTACTGGGCTTGAACTCAGGGCCTTCACCTTGAGCCACTCCACCAGCCCTTTTTTTGTTTTCTTGAGATAGGGTCTAGAGAACTATTTGCCCAGGCTGGCTTCGAACTGTGATCCTCCTGATCTCTGCCTCCTGAATAGCTAGGATTACAGGGGAGAGCCACTGGCGCCCAGCTTGTTCTTTCATTCATCTGTTGAGAAGCTACATGTTTGGGCATTCAGCAAGAATAAGACAAAAGTTTGCCCTCTCACAACCATCACTCTAGTGATGTAACCACACAACATATACGCAAACATAAAAAGTTAACCTTTTTTTTGGTGGGACAGGGGTTTGAACTCAAGGCTTCACACTTGCAAAGCAGGCACTGTACCACTTGAGCCACACCTCCAGTCCATTTTGCTCTGGTTATTTTGGATATGGGGTCTTGCTGTTTGCTTGGGCTGGCCTCAAACCATGATCCTCCCGATCTTAGCTTCCCAAGTGGCTAGGATTACAGGTGTGAGCCACTGGCGCCTGGCAAAAGTTAACTTTGAGAGCAATAGATTTATGAATACAATAAAAGGAGGACCATGAGAGAGCAACAGAGAATGGGTGGGTGCTTACTGGAGATGGGTTTACCTCTATGTGAGATTTGGAGGAACAGAATGCAAAGTGCCTCTGTTAGGAAGGAGCTGAAGGTGATCAAGGAATGGTGGAGAGGTCAGAAGAGAGAAGAGGGCAAGAATTGTAGGAGATGAGGTCATGTAGGGACTGGCATGCCTGGAGGGGTGTGGAATCTATTTTAAGTGCTGTGGAAAATCTAGGAAGGGTGTTAGCAGAGGAACGATGAAACCTTAGAAAAGCTCCCCCTGGCTGCTGCTTGGAGAGAAATGGTGGACATGAGGCAAGCGTGGAAGAAGAGAGGCTGGAGGTATGGCTCAGTTGTAGAGTGCTTGCCTAGCATGTGCAAAGTCCTGGATTTGATCCCCAGTAGCACAAAACAAAACAGTGAATGAATGAATGCAGTGGCTAGCGCCATCATCCAGGTGACAGATGACAGTGGCTAGTGCCAGGTGATGAAAAGCAATTGGATTCTGGGGACATGAGGACAAAAATGGTCATATGGACACATTGCAGACAACCAGACAGGTCACCCTTAAGGGAGGGGAGAGTCGGAGAGAAAATAGGAACAAGCAGAATGAGATGAGCAGGAAAACAGAAGTAAGGTAGATAAAAAGAAATGAGGACAGAGCCGGGCACTGGTAGCTCATGCCTGTAATCCTAGCTACTCAGGAGGCAGAGATCAGGAGGATCGCAGTTTGAAGCTATTTCCAGGGAGATAGTTTGAGAGATCCTATCTCAAGAATATCCAGTACCAAAAAGGGCTGGTGGAGTGGCTCAAGTTGGTAGAGTGCCTACCTAATACGTTCGAGGCCCTGAGTTCAAATCCCAGTATGGTCAGGACAGGTTCAGGGTCCTGGCGGACCTCGACTCCAGTACATAGTTCCTTGCTCTTCCCAGGTCAACAAGCTGGAAAAGATCTTACAGAGCTTGGTGGAGTATTCCCAGGATGTGAGTAACCCTAAAGAGATTTAGAAGGATGGGTTGGGGGAAGGGGAAAGGTCTGTGAGTCCCACAGCCCCTCTGCTCCCTTATCCTCAGGTCCTGGGGCATCCTGTATCAGAAGAGCATCTCCCAGACGTGAGCCTCATTGGCGAGTTCTCAGACCCTGCAGAGCTCGGCAAATTACTTCAATTGCTGCTAAGCTGTGCTATCAGTTGTGAGAAAAAGCAGGGTATGAAGAGGGCTAGAGGAGGAACAAGGGGGATCTCAGAAGATGACTCATGAAATGTTTTTCCCCCCAACCCATCTCTGGGTCACAATCACCTCACCTTGATTCCCCAGAGCACATCCAGAGAATCATGACGCTGGAGGAATCGGTGCAACATATAGTGATGGAAGCCATCCAGGAGGTGGGTGGAGGTACCCCATGTGGCTATTGCAGAGCATTGGGAGAGGTGATATTTCTAGGATAGAGGCCACTGGACACAGGCTGTGCCCTGGTTAAGTTTTGGGCTCTGCCTGGAAGTCAGCTGGACAAACATTTCGATCTCTGTCCCATGTTTCTGCCAACTCTCAGTCACAATCCTGTTGGGGGCAGGGCTGGGGTGACCTGGTAGAATTGGCCTTGGTAACGAGAGTGGAGAGGTTCTTAGGCTGGATGGTAGAAACCTTGAAGGCTGTCCTCGGAGAGTTCAGCTAATCACAGCGCCTCTCCCATCCCCAGCTTATGACCAAAGACACACCTGACACCCTGTCAGCAGAGACCTATGGCAACTTTGATGCGCAGGTAAGAGTGGGGAACCTTGCTAAAGGTCCCCACCCCATTGCTGGTTCTTAGACCCAAGGGCACGCCCTCTCGCTGTAGCCCGCCCTCTGTGCTGCTCTAAGTCCCGCCCTTGCTTACAGGTAGGCCACGCCCTTTAGGTCCGCCCCTCCACCTTGGCCAGCTCACCTTTTGAGTTTGTAAGCCCAGCCTCTTTCAGTACAGCCAACCCCTGCAAATTCTTGACATGGGGATAAACCACCCTCAGCCCTCAGGGTTCTAGTCCCTTCCCTTGGCAGGTCCCCCAGTGTTCCCAAATCACTCTTCTCCCAATCACCTGTTACCCCAGTCCCCTCTGAGATCCTGAGGGTTCCTTGACCCTTTTTCTCTGCCCCTAGAAATCGCAGCTTCCCTCCCTCGCTTTTCTTCCCTGGATCCCTGAGTTCCTTGCCCCCCACCCCCCACCCCGTTGCCCATCTCTCAGTCCCGCAGATACTATTTCTTGAGTGAGGAGGCCGAGGAAGGGGACGAGCTGCGGCAGCATTGCCTGGACCTGGAGCGGCAGGTAGACAAGCACAGGTGCTGCGGGGGCAGGGTCCTCTGCAGAGTCCCTTTCCAGTCTCTAGCTCACCCACCTGCCCTGCCCGCAGCTGGTGCTCCTGTCAGAGGAGAAGCAGAGCCTGACACAGGAAAACGCGACGTTGAGGGAGAGGGTTGGCCGGCCGGAGGCTGAGGGCGCTCCGGGCCTCACAGCTAAGAAACTGCTGTTACTGCAGTCACAACTGGAACAGGTGCAGGAAGAGAACTTCAGGTGCCACCAACTAGGGACAGGGTCAGGAGGACCAGGGGATCGGGGTAAGAGGGCATCTCCCTTATGTGCTCTTCCCTGACACCCCAGGTTGGAGAGCAGCCGGGAGGATGAGCGGCTGCGCTGTGCGGAGCTGGAGCGTGAGGTCACTGAGCTGCAGCAGCGGAATCAGGCGCTGACCAGCCTGGCCCAGGAGGCGCAAGCGCTGAAGGATGAGATGGACGAGCTCCGGTGAGTGGTGGGTCCCCGAGAGCCCAATGCGTACCTCCAACATTCCCAGAGTACCTCTCTGATGCCACAGCACCTCTGTAACCTCCAAATGCTCAGTGGATCCCCACAATGCGCTTCAGACTCCACCGTGCCATCCTGAACCCCACAAAACCCCCCAAGGCCCTCTTAACTATCCTGAGGGCTCTCATACTTCTGGATCCCACGGCACCTTCCAGGACGCTATAACTGGAGCTCCTTGTGGCCCTCCTTTGCCTTCTGTAACTCCAAAGGGTTCCCTCCCTTTGATCTTGTCCTTTAGCACCCTTGGAATGCTAAAGTGCCCAGTGCAGCACCTCACTGCAGTTCTAAAACCCCACAACTAAGTAGTGCATACCTATAATCCCAGCACTGGGGAGGCTGAGGCAGGAGGAACTTGAGTTCAAGACCAGCTTGTGCTACATAGCAAGACATCTGAAAAAAAAAAAAAAAAAACAAAAAAACAAAAAGACCTTGCAACTTCCCCATGACCCCAAGGTGTCATTGAGCTAATCTCAGTATTCTCTGGGTCCTCATCTCTTCCCCCTGTAACCCCACAACCCACCTGGTCCCCATAATTCCACCCCTAAGTATCCCCAGATTATAGTAGACCAGGCCTTGGCTGATTTGAGACCCTCCACTCCCATAACCCATTCATCATGAACCCATATTCCCCAGGTCGACACCCTTTTCTGTCCTGAGTGGCCCTGCAATTCCAGCTGACCCTTAGTTGCTCCTTTCTTTGCCCCCCCTCCCCAGGCAGTCCTCAGAGCGCGCAGGGCAGCTGGAGGCCACTTTGAACAGCTGCCGGCGACGCCTGGGCGAGCTGAGGGAGCTGCGGCGGCAGGTGCGGCAGCTGGAGGAGCGCAACGCGGGCCACGCTGAGCGCACGCGGCAGCTGGAGGAAGAGCTTCGCCGAGCCGGCTCGCTTCGCGCCCAGCTGGAGGCGCAGCGGCGGCAGGTGAAACCTGGGGCCCCGGCTTAGGGAAGCCGGGAGTCCTGAGAGGCCCCGCCCCCGAGGACACGCCCCTTACTGTGGCCAGCCCTTGGTTGCATGTAGGCCACGCCCTTTAGGCCCGCCTCTCGACTCTGGCCAGTCGCTGTCTGGATTATAAGCCCCTCCCCTTCCCTTATGCACCAACCTCTCCAAGTTCTTGCCTCTGAGTTCCTCTGGCCCCGCCCCCTCACCTGGTACTTAGTCGCAGCTCCTCCTTCCATACCTGAGCCCTCAACCCTTCCCTCTGTTCAGGTGCAGGAACTTCAGGGCCAGCGGCAGGAGGAGGCCATGAAGGCCGAGAAATGGCTATTTGAGTGCCGCAACCTGGAGGAAAAGTATGAGTCGGTGACAAAGGAGAAGGAGGTGAGATTGGAGTCCCACGGCCCAAGCTCCGCCCTGCATAATCTGGGATAGCCCATTTCCTCCTCATATGGCATCTTTTATCCTGTCCCTGTAGCGGCTGTTGGCAGAGAGGGACTCCCTTCGGGAGGCCAACGAAGAGTTGCGCTGCGTCCAGCTGCAGCCTAGAGGGTTGACTCAGGCAGGTGAGCTGGAGGCCCACGGGAACCTGGGGAAGGGAGGCCTGGGGTTGAACTGGAGCCCCCAAACATAGTCCTTGAAAAAAGAGCCCTAAGTACAGGGATTGCGTGTGTATAAAGACCTGAAGACTTGTCTCTCATTCTCCAGATCCCTCATCGGATCCCAGACCATCTGGCCTAGAAAACTTAGCAGCAGAGATTCTACCAGCGGAGCTGAGGTATACTGGGTCACTCCGAACTTTGGGCCCACCCACGCCTCCCTCAGCCCCGCCCCCAGCATTCACCTCCACCATATAGCCTTTAGTTGCTTGGTGTAGCGTCCATGTAGGAGCTGAGCAACTAGGTTCTTCCATTTCTAATTCTACTGTTACTCTGCGGAGGACTCTAGCCCTCCTTGGTGGCTTTGCCTCTCCAGAATCCATCTTCAGTACACAACTTAAGTCCAACCCACCTGCCTCCACTCCTATGCCCTATCCCTGCCCGCGTTGATCATTCCCCAGGGTCTAGCCCCGTCCTCACTTGAGTCCCTTCCTAGGTTCAGTCCCCTGTGCCCTTCCTTGATTAACTCTCCCACCCCAGTTCTTCCGATTCCTGCAGCCAGATCAATGGCGCGTCCTTAACCCTCGCCTGTAGCTCCGCCTTTCCTTGGCTCCATCTCCAGATCCAACGCTCCGCCCCCATGCTAGGCCCCGCCCCCGGACCTGAACCGCCGGTGGGGTTCCTCAGTGCTGCTTATGCCAAGATCTGGCTGGGCTCTTTCCAAGGCTCCATCCTGCCCCTACCTCCACCTGGCAATCCCGCTGCTGGGCGGTGTGGAAACCCGAGCTGGCCTTCGGGAGGTCGGGTCCCCAGCCCTGCTCACTCTTCCCGGGTTGGCAGGGAGACGCTCTTGCGGCTTCAGCTGGAGAACAAGCGGCTGTGCCAGCAGGAGGCGGCCGACCGGGAGCGGCAGGAAGAGCTGCAGCGCCACCTAGAGGAGGCCAACCGGGCGCGCCACGGACTGGAGACGCAGCACCGGTGAGGGCCAGGGGGAGGGGACCCCGCGTGCGCGCAGGAGGGGCTGAGAGCCCGCGCCGGCACTGAGCGGGCCCCCACCCCGCAGGCTGAACCAGCAGCAGCTGTCGGAGCTGCAGGCCCAGGTGGAGGACCTGCAGAAGGCCCTGCAGGATCAGGGGGGCAAGACTGAGGACGTGAGTGCCCACCTCCTCCCTGCCTGTCCCTCTCTCTTGCCCCCTAGTAACCCTGTCTCTCTCTCTCTCCTGCTGCCCGATGCCCGGTGCAGGCTATTGTGAGTACCGTGGGCCCTGGGACGCACCCCACACTCACCTGGCGAAAGGGTTCAGACCTCTGGACTCCCCACTCACCTCCTGCTTCTCTCCCCCAGCCCACCCTGCTGAAGAGGAAGCTGGAGGAACATCTGTAAGTGACAGACAGAGGGCACGCCGGTGGCCAGGGCAAAGGTGTGGGGGATGCATTCGGAATCAGATGGCACCCAGAATGGGCACTTAGGTCAAATACAGTCTTAGACACCCAGGAAAGAAGCATGGACTGTTTTGAGGACACAACTGGGAGCCCCAGATGGGCTTTCAGTAGGTAGTGTGATAAAGTAATAGTTGCTTTTTAGGTTTTTTTTTTGTTTTTTGTTTTTTGGTGTGTGTGGTTCTGGGGTTTGAACTCAGAGCCTACACCTTGAGCCATTCCGCCAGCTTTTTTGTGATGGGCTTTTTCAAGATAGGGTCTCAAGAAGTATTTGCCCAGGCTGATCTGGATCCTCCTATCTGCCTCCTGAGTAGCTAGGATTACAGAGTGAGCCACCGGCACCCGCCTGCCTTTTAATTTTTATGTTTTTGTAAAAGAAACCAGTTTTTGTTTGTTTTTCTGGTGCTGAAAATCTCCTCCCCCCAAAAAAATCCTACTACTCCAAGTCTGTTTTTATAGGGTTTTGTGTGTGTGTGTGTGTGTGTGTGTGTGTGTGTGTGCTACTAGGGTTTGAACTCAAGACTTCATGCTTGCTAAGCAGACGCACTACCACATGAACCACTCCACCAGCCCTTTTTGTGTGTGTATATTGGGTATTTTTTGAGATTGAGTCTCAGGAACTATTTGCCCTTGCTGACTTCCAACAGTGATTCTCCTGGAGCAGCTAAGATTACAAGCATGAGCCACCAACACCCCTGCTCTTTTTAAATTTTTTTTATTTGCTTTAGGGTCTCATTAAGTAGCCCAGGCTGGCCTTAAACTCTTGATCTCCTGCCTCAGCCTCCTATGTGCTAGCTTATAGACATGGGCCACTACACCTGGCCAAAATAGCTCTCTTTCTCTTTTTTCTCAATACTAACTGAGATGGAATCCAGGACCTTGAGATCTGTAGCTACCTACTGCATGAGCCTGGAATGTGGCTCGGTGCAGTGTTTGGCAGCGGGGATGAGGCCCTGGCTTCCATCTCCAGCATCATGAATGAATGAATGGGGAACGAATGAATGGAAGCCAGACCTTGGTCAGCCCAAGGTCCCTCCCTCCCTCCATCCCCCAGGCAGAAGCTGCAGGAGGTGGATCTGGAGCTGCAGAGGAAACGAGAATACATCGAGGAGCTGGAGCCACCCTCGGACAGCAGCAGTAAGCGGTGCTCTGCAGCAGCCAGGCTTGGGGGGAGCCGGAGTGGGGCTTGGAGCTCAAGGACCTCCTGTTCCCCCAGCAGCCCGGCGGATCGAAGAGCTGCAGAACAACCTGCAGAAGAAAGACGCAGACTTGCGGGCCATGGAGGAGCGGTACCGCCGCTATGTGGACAAGGCGCGCACGGTGAGGATGGGGAGTCTTCCCCACTATTCTCCTGCCTGGGCTTCCATTCCTTGGGCCTCCTGCCAGTTTGCAGGTCTCTGTCCCCCAACCTGAACCTGTCCTACCCCACCAGAACCTTCTGGGCTGCCATGAGCTGTCACATTTAATGCACATCGGTGTGTCAGAGGGTCTGCAAAAGGGCTGGGGATGTGACTCAGGAACAGTGTGCTTGCCTAGCATGTGTGAGGCACTGGGTTACATCCCCAAAACTACACACACACACACACAAAAGGCCTAGGTTAGCCAGGCCTGGTGGCATCTCTCTGTGATCCCAGTACTCAGGAGGACAGAGTTCCAGGCCAGCTTGGGCTACATATTGAGACCCTGGCCCTCGAAAAAGCAACAAGCTGGGCGCTGGTGGCTTACACCTGTGATCGTAGCTGCTTGAGAGGCTCAGATCAGGAAGATCAAAGTTCGAGGCCAGCTCAGGCAAGAAGTTCAAAGAAACCTCATCTCCAAAATAACCAGAGCAAAGTGGACTGGAGGTGTGGCTCAAGCTGTAGAGCACCTGCTTTGCAAGTGTGAAGCCCTGCGTTCACACCCCAATCCCACCAAAACAACAACAAAAAAAGACAAACCAAAACAGAGCCCACCAGAAATAAGTAAGTAAAAGGCCAAGGTCACCTGCCTGTGATTTGTGCAAATTCTAGGTCATACAGACCCTGGAACCCAAGCAGCGGCCACCTGCTGGGCCACCCCCAGAACTCCATGCCCTGAGGACACAGCTTCGGGAGCGGGATGTCCGCCTGCGGCACCTGGAGGTGGGTGTCCTTGTCCCTTTACACTGTTCCCAGTGTATGCAGGCTCTTGACTCCCCCCCCCCTCCTCCTGGCAGATGGACTTTGAGAAGAGCCGAAGTCAGCGGGAACAGGAAGAAAAACTGCTCATCAGGGCCTGGTACAACATGGTGAGAATGCTGCCACCAAGGTAGGATTATCAGGGACCCATGGGTTGCCTGTCCCCAACCAGCCACACCCTCTGCCTCCAGGGTATGGCTTTGCAGCAGCGAGCTGGGGAAGAGCGGGCATCTGCCCACGCCCAGTCATTCCTGGCACAGCAGCGGCTGGCCACCAACGCTCGTCGTGGACCCCTTGGACGTCTGGCGTCTCTGAACCTTCGCCCCACTGACAAGCACTGCTAATTGCCAGGCTCTTGCCACCTCCCTGGACAGCCAGGGGATCATCCACGCTGATTCCTCCAAGTCACAGGGCATCCAGCCTCAGGCCTTTACCAGCTGCTGGAGAGCCTTGAGGCCATGACCTCTGCCCTGTGCTTCTCCCCCTGATTGGGGGGAGGTGAGAGACAGCAGGTGGCACTTGTCCTGTTTTTTGTTGTTTTGTTTTTTTTAGCAATGTGATTCTTACCCTTGATTTTTCTCTCTGGAGTTGATGTGCTGTCTGGAGAGTGCCTGATTTTATATTTGAGAAGACTAATAAAGACTTTAATTCTACCCTGGTTGGACTCTGGGTACCAAAGTGAGGGAGAAAAAGTAGGCCAGGGACTCAGACCATTGCTTTTAAGGAAGGCCTGACTTGCATTCTTACTAAAGTGTGAATGAGTGATAGCAGCCAGTGAGAGATGAGGAGTGTGTGTGTGTGTGTGTGTGTGTGTGTGTGTGTGAAGGAAGATAGATGATAAAAAAATTGACAAAATGAGTTTTATGTGAGAAAGGCTACAGAGAAAAAACACAAGAAAGATGCAAGATGAATTTGGTGGCAATTTTTTTTTTTTAATGGGACTGTGCTTTTTACTTACAAAGCAGGCACTACACCGCCTGAGCCACACCTCCAGTCCCTTTTGCTCTGGTTATCTTGGAGATAGGGTCTCAAAAACTATTTGCCCTGGCTGACCTTGAACCTTGATCCTCCTGATCTCACCCTCCCAGATAGCTAGGATTTTAGGCGTGAGCCACTTGTGCCCAACTGGAGGAGGCAACTTTGGTTTTTTGGCAGCACTGGGGTTTGAATTCAGGGCCTCACACTTGCTAGGCAGGCACCCTACCACTCTAACAGTCTTTTTTTATGATGGGTATTTTCAAAATAGGGTCTTGAGAACTATTTGCCTGGGGCTGGTTTCGAACTGCAATGTTCTTGATTTCTGCCTCCTGAGTAGCTATGATTATAGGCGTGCGGCACCGGTGTCCCCTTGGAGGTGGCAATTTTTAGTAAAAGGCCAGGAAAGGAGGCCTCACTGAAGAAATAACATCGTGTAAGCAGAGACCAGTAGGAGGTGAAGGAGGTGCCGTGTAGATGTATGGGGAAAATCAATCCACACAGAAGAACAGTATGTGCAAAGGTCCTGACGTGAGACCTTGCCTGGTGGGCTAGAGATACAGTGAAGAGGCCAGTCTGGGATGGAGTGAGGAAGAAAATGGGAGAAAATGAGGAAAAGGAGATTGTTCAGGCTTTGTGGGCAGCAGGGAGTACTTTAGTTTTTATTCTAAGTGTGATGGGAGCCATCCAAGATTGTAAGCAAAGGAAGGTGTGACCTGACTTCAGCAGGCGCTCTACTGCTTGAGCCACACCTCCAGTCCATTTTGCTCTGGTTATTTTGGAGATGGAGTCTCAAGCACTATTTGTCTGGGCTAGCCTGGAACTACTATCCTCCCTATCTTAGCCTCCCAAATTGCTAGGATTACAGGCATGAGCCACCACACTTGGCTTCCTCTGGTGGCTCTTGTGGAAAGAACAGACAGCTGGAGCTGCAAGACTGGGACAGAAGCTACCAATCCCAGTGGGTAACATTGGAGCTCTGGACAGAGTGGGGCCCTGGAGGAGTGGGAAATGGTTGGCTCCTGGGGACCAGGAAGGTGGGAGTTTGGTGGGACTTGCTGCTGGCTTGAGGTGGAGATGAATGAGAGAAGGCTGGGATGACTCCACATTTTTGGCCTCACAACATGAAAGGACAAACGTGACAGACATAGAGTGGGATGGGTTTGGGAGTGATTGTGGAGTGTGTTGTAATATTTCAAGTGGATCGGGCAAGGAAGTAGTTAGGTAAGAAATCCTTAGTTAGACTTCCAAATGCCAGAGACATTGGTGTCTGATTAAATTAAGACCTGGAAAGATTTGGGCTGGGGATGCAGTTCAGTGGCAGGGTGCTTGTCTAGCATGCAAGAGGCCCTGGATTCCATTCCCTCACCACACCACACCTGCTTATAAGATGAGGAGCATTAAGAAACTGTGCCTTTGGGACAGTGGCTGATTCATTAACTAGTGAATAAAACCAGGGGCTTTGGCCAGGCGCTGGTGGCTCACGCCTGTAATCCTACCTACTCAGGAGGCAGAGATCAGGAGGATCATGGTTTGAAGCCAGCCCAGGGAAACAGTTCTCCAGACTCTATCTTGAAAAACCCTCGACAAAAACAGGACTGGTGGAATGGCTCAAGGTGAAGGCCCTGAGTTCAAACCCCATTCCCGCCACAGAAAGAAAGAAAACAAAACAAAACTAAAACAATCCAGGGGCATTTCTGGTTTTATTTAGAGAGCAGAATTTGGGAAGAAGTGCGTAGAGTGTTATCAAATATCTGGAAGAATTCACAAATCTTAGCCTATCGAGAGAAGTCAAGCTAACAGTTTGAATAAAATGCTCTAACAGTTTGTTGAGCGCTGTATTCTAAGACAAATGCTTTGAAGCCATCGTTTCATTTCAGTGTGTCTCATCCTTAGGACAGGTCCATGAGGTAGCCACTCACGTCTCCTTGGGAAGGACTGAACACAGGCAGGACTTGCCTCAGGCCATGGGGTTTGGGACATAAAGCTGGTGGTGAGAACAACTGTTCAAAAGAAACCGGGAGAATTCCCTGCCTTTAGCACAGAGCCAGACCCACGCAGGCAGCAGGAGCTGGTGAGAAATGGGCAAGGCGACTTTATGCAGGAACACCAGGTTTACGCTGGGCTGGACCCCTACCTGCCAGCTGTGTGGGGGCTTGGGTCCCTTTCCTTAGAGGTCCTGGCTCCAGGGTCTCAGGCCAGACTCTCCTCCTCCTCTCCAATAGGGCTAGGCAGCCAGGGTGGCGCTGGAGCCCTGGGTCCGGGGATGGACACCGTGGTGTAGGGGTCAGCGGCAGGTCCGGGATTAGGGGCAGATGGCTCAGGACACGCGGGGGGCTCGGGTTCCTGCTCCCGGAGGCCGGGATCGAGCAGCGGGTCCCCGCAGCCGCACTCCGGGGCCGCACCTTCGGGGGCGCTCGCGCAGGCACAGCTGGCGGCTGTGGACGTCTCTGACACGCAGCTGTTCTTGCGGCGTAGCAGGGACAGGCGCCTGCCCAGCAGGCCTCCTCCCGCCATGCCCGCACCCACCGGCAGGAGGCGCTGCAGGAAGTCACTGTGCGCCTCTCCCAGCGGGCCGTCCACGCCGTCCAGCCGCTGGAACTGCATGTCCTCCTTGGCCAGCCTGCAGGATGGACAGTGAGCCGGAGCTGCGGCCTGTCCCCCACCCCCTCCCTCCACCTCCTCCTCCCCTCCCCCTCTCTGCAGTGGTGGGGATGAAACCCACGGGGCCTCCTGCAAGCCAGGCAAGCGCTCCACTACTAAGTCCCACCCCCAGTCCCCGCTTTTCTCCTTGATTGACAGAGCAGAGTCCGAGGCGCGAGGCTCTCCCTGGCTCCGCCCACCCTTAAAATAATCTGCACTTATCCTCTGTCTCTGCTCACACTTAGGTCTCAAAGTCTCAATTGTGGCTTCCTCCTGCCTCCTTTGGGACCACCTCTGGCCCGTCCAATCCTCACAGACCATAAACCCTTAGATCTGCCCCCAGTTCGTGACTTAGTTCCTGTCCCACCCTCCACTGAACCTCTGCCCTAGTCAGTTTTCAGACTTTAGCTCTTCGCCTCCAATCTCCAGACTTTAGTCCTTAGCCTTGTCCTGGTCTCCTATGGACCATTCAGATAGGCACCCAGCCATAAGCTTCGCCCTCTGGAGAGCACGCCCACCCCACTGGCTTACGCAATGTCAAAGGTGGAGCCCTGGAAGGAGGGCTGCTGCAGCAGGAAAGCGGTGGCCGCCGTGTAGGGGGCGCGAGCCTCTGTCGCATCCCAATACAAATCCTTTTCCAACATGGCCAGGTCGTCGTACATCTCGTCCACGGCCAACATCGACACCTGAGGACGTGGACACGCACAGCGGGATGGGGTGGACCCCTCAAGGGTGGGTGGGAAGGGGGTGATCAAAGACAGAAGGGTGATTCTGGACGAGGCCTGGGCAAGTCCTGGCCTGGGCAAGTCCTGGCGCGGGTAAGGCCAGGGCTGCTTTGAGAGTTCGTGGATGATCGCCACGCAAAAAGTCTCACCTGGAAGTTGCGGTCAATCAGGAAGTTGGTCTCAAAGTCATCGTCGTCCTCTCCGAAGGGGTTAATGAGTTGCTCGGCTACCTGAGTAGGGAGGAAGGAGGCAGGAGGATCCTGGAGAAACTAGCACTCCCCAACCCCAGTTCTGGCCTCGGAGCTCCACCCACCTTGAGCCAGCCGGCATAGAAGAAGAATTGCAATAAGGTGAAGATGGGAACGACCAGGTCCAGGGTGTGGTCTTTGTAGCCCTGCGCAGGGTCCAGGAACTGACGACCAATGAGACAAGCCAGGAAGTAGCTGTACACTGCGATGGTCACCACCTGGGGGCGGGGCGGGTGGGGTGCCAGGTTAGCGTCCCCCACTTCTAGGAGTCATCGAAAGAGCAGGGCTAAGACTGCGTGTCACTGGGATGGCGTTCAGATGATCCTCAGTTTCCCTTGAGACTAACAGGTCAGGGACTCTGACATCGAGTATAAACGGAGGCATGGAGAGGTTACCTGGGTGTAGACGAGGGGTACGCTAATCCAGTCGTAGTGAAAGAGCATCCCACACTTTCCTCGAAACACGTTCAGCTCCTGGGGGACGGATACAGGCCATGAAGGGGGCTGAACTGTGAATTCATTTGCGATTAAGTGTGGGTATCTGGAATTGGAAGCATGTGATCACCGACTGGGAGGTGGAAGTAGGCTTCTGGAGGACGGGCTTCCAGGGAAAGTATTTGGTGGTGAGTGTACACCTGGGGTGGGGGCACGGTGCACCAAGGGTCTACCCGGAATAGATCTCGGGGAAGGGCGCGGCAGGTCGCTCTTGTCACCCTCCATAGGGCACAACTTCACAGGTATCCTGTATGAATGACCTCCCAGAAGGCTCACCTCCAGCAGCAGCTTAAGTGCGCTATTGTCGCGGATGAGGCCCTCGCGCCGGGCCTGCGCCGCCAGGTTGGAGAACCACACGCAGGGCACCCAATACTTGTTGTAGGACGAGTTCAGATTCTCGAACTTCTTGCGCTCCTCCCGGGTCATAAAATCCTGGAGGGGCGTGGCCCGGAATTACTCGCCCCTCCCTCTGCCCTAGCTCCGCCTTCGTCCCGCCTCCCTCCCCCCCAATCTGGTCTGGGACTTACCCGCCTCCACTACGTGGTCTATGGTGGGGAAACGCTTGAAGACTGCGGTGCTGACCGAGCGCAGAATAAGCACCGCAGAGAGCCCTGCGTAACGCATGAGCGTGCGCCGGTAAAGCCGGCCGCGATCGTCGCGCCCGTGCACCGTGCCCACCACCACGCACATAAGCGCGTCCGGTAGCGGCATGCATAGGTACTGGTCCCACCAACGGTGCACCACCACCGTCACGTAGAAGCCTGCGGGCAAGCCGGGAATGGGAGCTCAGCAGGGACGCTAGGGCCAGAAGTTGGGGAGCCTGAGCCGTGGAAGGACGACATAGGGCTTGCATCAGGACATCTGCGCAGGTTGGTCACCCTGACCATGCGGGGCCACCTCGGCTGAAAACTTGAGGGCCTGCCCCGAGGTAAGAGGAGGCGCGGGTCACCTTGGCTACGTGGATGTCACCTGGGATATGGGGAATTGGGATACCAGTATGGGGATGAAGACCCGGGGCACATTAACAGGTTGTCACCTGCCACAAGTTGGAGGGCTCGGGACATGGGAATCTAAAACATGGAGAAGAGGGCCCTGGTTTGTGGAGATGTATTATACATTAGGGACACCTGGACAGGCTTGTCACAACAGCCACTCCGAGTCCCTGAGTCAGGAACGCATGAAGGAGACTTAAGCAGGCTGGCCACCCCATCTATGTGGTGGGAGGGAGGCTGGGGTTACATGAGTTCTCTGGAGACTTGGGGGACAGGACTTGTCAGAGAAATATCCCCACAGGTCAGACTCGAGAGAATGGAGGGGGTCCCTGGGGCTCAGAATGTGTAGAGAGACAGAGGGGACTAGTCAACTCATGCAGACATAAGTGAGGAGTATTTGGGACAAGCTTGCCCCATAGGAGTCCCTCAGGGGCACTGTGACCAGGTGATATCCAAAGTTTCTGAGTGTGAAGCCACAGAGGATATCTGCGCCGTGTGAATCCAAAAGTGGGGAGCTGTGGGGGGTTGGATTTGAAGAGGGAATCTTAGAGGGGCAGGAATGGGGAGCTCTAGGAGGCATGAATGGGATTGGGGTTCTCAGGACTCTCAGGGGGAGCGACCTCACCGAGCACGAAGGAGACTGGGATGAGGCTGGCGTACTGATCGCAGTAAATGACGAGTTTCTCGAAGTAGCGTTTCTGCTCTTCAGCCAGCACGAAGCTGCGGGGTAAGGGGGTGCGAGGTTACGAGCGAGCCCCCTTCTCAGGCTTCCCGATCTCCCTTGCCACGCACGTCCCCCACCGAGGCCTCTCGTAGCCTCCTCGTTCAGCTCACGCCCCAAGGGTACAACGCGGGATCCCGGTCAGTCCCCAGCGCTGGCCCGCTCCTCCCGCCCCAGGTCCGCCACTTCACCGGTAGGTGGCGCTCAGCGCCATGTAGAGCCCAAGGAAACAGAGCAGCTCACGCCACAGCAGTTTGTAGATGCTTCCGCGCCACAACAGCAGCAGCTGCGAGAAGCCACCGAAGCGGGCATTGGCCACTCGGGCTGTGTAGGTGACGGTCATCGCGGCGCCACGCCTGTGGGGCCAAAGGAGAGGGGGCTGGACTGGGCCCGGGTCTGTAGGCTGAGTGAGGAACGAACCATGGGGCTGGGCGGAGGCTGGGCTGGGGATTTCAGGTGGGGGTGGAGAGGTGCCAGCCGATCGGCGCACTGTCCTCACCCCACCCAGACTGTCTCCACCCAGGCCCCATCCGCTCCTTAAGTCCTGGTCTTTGCTCAGGTTCCCTTCTCCTTCCAGTTCAGCTCTGGAGCACCCCCTCCCCTTCCTCAGTCCCAGTCTACGTCCCCAACACCCTTTCCCTGGACATCCCTAGTGCCTTTCTCTAGGTCCCACACCTCTTAGACTCTTTGGTCCACGAAACCAGCTCGAGTTGTCCTCCACCCGGTCCCCTCACCAGGACACCACCCTCAATCTCCCCCACTCCCTGAGTCCCCAGTGCCTCAGTTTCTCGGCTCTCGGCTTCAGGCTCCCCCCTCCCCATTGCCTCACCGCCCCACTTCTGGCTGGCTCTCTCCACTCCCCAGCCCCATCTCCTCCACCGCCTTAGAATATAAGGTGCTAAGGTTCCATGTCTCCCAGACTCTGTCCCCAAGCCCCCCAGTCTCATGGTGGCCCCCTCTCCTGACCACAAGGCCATGGCCCTGTCCACCTCCCCCTTAATCACTCTGGCTCTGCCCCCTCCCACTTCTCCTCCAGGATCCACCTTGACCTTTCCTCTCTCCTTCAGCTAACCTTACATGCCCTCCCTCTCCACCCCGGGGAGAAGTCCTATCTGAAAGCCTGCGTGTCCTTAGGGTCCCTTAGTACCCTCTGGGGCCTGGGCTTTTCTCACCTGTATGGAGGGTGTCTGATGCAGGGACACACGGGGACAGAGACTGAATGGGCGGGTGGCTTTAGCGTTGGGTGGGGCTGAAGCCAGACCCTTGGTGGGAGGGTGTTGGGGAGTGGGCGTGGGCAGCCCCTCCCAGGCCCGTCCCCCTAGCTGAGCTGCAGCCTGGGAACTTTGTTTGGAGAAGTCCAGCCAGTTTATCACCTGGGGCAGGGGGAAAAGTCTGTCCTGTCTTTCCATGCTCCTCCCAGTCTCTCAGTCACTTACTGGCAGGTCTAAGGCATCTGGAACCTAGAACGGGGGGAGGGGCAGGGATCCTCTTCTCAGCTCACTCAGAGAGGCAGGGTCCTTCCACACTTAGCTGTCACGAAGATGTACACAGAAATACACATTGTAGATCTGGCCACAAATTCAGCTTCCCTTAATCAGCCCGTCATAATTACAGTGACCCAGGGACACTACACACTGTCACAAAGACTTCCAAAGTCACACAAGACATACCTACTTCTATCCCTAGATGGACCCTGGACATATACTCACTCCACAGGCACACTCTTGTTACTCCATATAGGCACACAAGACAAGAAGAGGCAACCAGGGGCCTGCATTCCTTCTTGATTCCACCATGTAACAAAGACACAGTCAAGGTCACACAACGAGCCAAGGGCAGAGCCCATCCAGCCCCTAGAATGCCTTCGCACACACAGCCACACACGTTCATGCAGAAGTATTAATCCTGATCTCCCCCAGTCAAAGTTGCTTCTGGGAGTTAGGAACACCTCCTCTCAACACAGTGGCACACAGTCTTGGGGTCAGAGGGGGACCTGATGGAGCCTGAGATTTGCCAAGGTTGAGAAGATGTATTCAGACCTGGGGGTGTAGCCTAAGTGGCAGAGTGCTTGCCTAGGAAGTTGGATTCCTGGTACTGAAAAGAGAGAGGGAGGAGGGGAGGAAAAAAGGAAGGTGGGGGAGAGAGAGAGAGAGAGAGAGAGAAAGAAAAGAAGGAGGGGGAGGAGGAAGAGGAGGAGGAAGAGAAGGGGAAGGGGAGGGGAAGGGGAAGGGGAGGAGGAGGGGAAGGGGAAGGGGAGGATAGAAGAGAAGATAGATTTGCAAAGCTGAGGATATGGCTCAGTGGTAGATCACTTGCAGGAGGACCTGGGTTCCATCTCCAGCAATGAAAATAAAAAAATGCCATCCACACATCAGCGACTCTTCTTTTACAGTCCCACCACATGTAACCCCTGATGAAAGTCACCTAAATTTGTAATTTATTAATGTATTAAGATAAGCCCCTCTCCAAGCCTCCTCCTTGCTATGTGTTGCAAGCACATCCAGACACAGTCTCAGATACCCTCACCATGGCCATCAGCACACAAAGTTGAGGACATAAGTCGTTCCCACACTTGGCATGGATTCAGGACAGATGCTCCTTCTTTAGAGACACACCTACGACGGGGGCTTGCGCAGCCTGGAAGGAACAGCACTCCATTCCATTCAGCAACTTTGAGGACATCCATTCTGAACGGCAATTGGGAGGGGCGAGGGACGTACAGAAGCTCAGAGGTTCGGCCTTGGGGGATGGGGCGCTCTGGGTGCCCATGAACTCTTTACGTTCACCCCAAGAGCGCTAGGATTGCGGATGGCTCAACGCAGCACCACCCCGAGCCCCAGCCGGTGAGGACGCAGTGTTCCCAAGTTGGCAGATGTCCGCCCCGCCCGGAGTAATTAGGATCCGGTTTAGGCCGGCCACCCTCGAACCCGCACCTCCGCTGTCCAGCTGCCGGACAGCCTATAAACCAGAGTGAGGGGACACCTGGGGCGGTGCCAGCAGATGCGCGACTTTGGGAGGGGACAGGATCAGCTGTCCCCACTCCCTAGGATGTGTCCTTGGGTTTACTGCTTCACTGCAGCTAGCTCTCCTGCTCATCCCCTCTCCCACTGCACACACAGGTCCCCACAGAGTTCTGACTGCCGACCCCCGAGGGACAGGTGGGCAAATTGCCCAGGCTGGTTGACATGCTTGGTCATTGTAACAGCAAATAATAACAAACGCTCCTTGGCTTGGTGTTATAAAATCCTCACAAAATTTATCTCATTGACTCCTCACAAGCCCTGATAAGTGCTCTTATTAGTCCACTATCCTGTAAGGGAAACTGAGGGTCAAATGACACACCTTGCTACTGGAACATCTAGGATCTGAGCCTAGGGAGTGTGGCCCAGAGCCTGGGGTCTTTGGGACTGGCTGCACTCCCAACTGTGTATTCACACCACCCCAACATGCCCATTCATGCTTGCCCACACCCTGCAGTGAGTGGGGGGACACAGCTAGGCTGGTGGCTGGGTTCCCCTTACACGTACACCCTGGCACTCCCAGACCCTTGGGTGTGTGCATCCTGAATGCTACTTCCTGAGTCACAGTGTCTTCAGCCATCCCTGTTCTGTCCCCCTCAACTCTAAGCTTGGAACTCGCAAATACACGGGGTCATGCCCCTTCCTGCATCTGTCAAGCAGAGATGACAGTGGCTGCCCAGGTGGTGGCAGAGGGAGGAGAAAAGGGCAAGGGTCAAGGGGGTCCAGTAGGTGTCCTCCAGCTGGCTGTACCACGTCTGGTTTCTGGCTCACAGAGGGTACACTCAGGTCCTGGTTTTAAGGGCAACAGTACCAATGTTTAAACACTAGGAAGCTCATATGGCAGTGGGTTCCTCAGGGGGGCCCCTCTGGAGGTATGTCCAGATTTCAGGGGTCCTTCAGCCTGAGTCTTCTATCATACTGTCCCCCTAATCAGCCCCATCTTTGCTGGGAGGGGCTGAAGCCAGCCATGGAGGGGGGAATTGGGGGCGGGGTGAAGATTGTTAATCCCCAGTCTGGCAGGCCCAGCCTCAGCCCAGGGCGCCCACTAATTCCCAAACCAAACAGCAGGCAGCACTGGGCCCGCTGCCGGCTTAATCCGCTCCCCACAAGCCTGGGGCTGGCCAAGGGGCCTCCTGATTCCCACACTCTGAGCTTCCAAGGAAGTGAGCAAATGCCCCTCTTTCATTCCAGGCTCTGACACCCTAGCAGGGGCAACCCATCCAGACCTAGATCAAGGTACTCACTCCCTTTCTCAAGACATCTCCTTCCAAAACTGCCACTATAAACACGAACCTCTATAGGTCTCTGTTGTGAATGCATACTTCTAGATGTGACACTTTTGTGTAGTGCACAACCTGTGCAACTGTACCTGAAGGGCCTTACCCGCCCACATCTCCCTATATCAACAAACACAGCTGTTTAAGATTATTTTATTGAGGAGCGAGGGGAGGGGAGAGGTGGGGGACAACTATAGCCCCCTCAGCCCCACCAGGGGGACAAACCCCCTCCCCGCCTCCCACCTCCCCAAGTGGCTCCCCCTGTACTATGGGGGACTTTGTGCAAACTCTGCCCCAGTGGGGGTTGGGGAGGGTGAGTTGAAATGGCAGCAACTGGGGTTGGTGGTGGTGCTACTGGGCACTTGGGGGCTTATAGGGTTCCAGGAGGAGGGCGGAGAAGGTGTTGACCTTGTCTGCTCCCCGAACCTCGTGGGGTAACAGTGGCAGCTTCACGATATGGAAGTCTTCATATAGGTCCTCCATCTGTAGCGGGATGGAGGGCAGAAAGCAGTGATTGGGGGGCAGGAGGGTAAGGACAGACAGAGGCCACAGAGAGGGTCCAGGAGAGAATATGGGGCAGAAGCTTCACAGTGGGAGTAGGGCTGGGAAGCTTAGAGATCCCTGGACTAGACCTCTGGCTCTCCATGGTCACAGACACCTAGGTCAGACCAGCCACAGACCTCGAGAACCAGAAGGAAGGATCTGAAGTGGGGGCAAAGGGCAGGTCAGGGCAGGGAGTCAAAAAAAAGGGTCTGGGCTCAGTGGCAGAGCACTTTCCTAGCATGTGCAAGGCCCTTGGTTCCATCCCCAGCACCAAAAAAAAAAAAGAAAAAAAAAAACTGGGTGGGGGAGGGGTGAGAAAATATAGTAAAGGACAGAAGTGTCTTGGTCAAGTGGGGCTTGGCAGGCTCACCTGGTCCAGGTACTTGGCCTGGATCTTGTGGCGGGCCTCACACATCTTGCAGGGCTTCTCGGGGTCAGGGAAGACGAGCTGGTTGACGATGATATTGTGGGTGTCGATCTTGCACTTGGCCAGCTCCTGGATC